AATCAAAAGTATATTTAGTTTCTCACCTGATGTATTTAGGATAATTACCTTTAAAACTACACTATGTTGTACTGTGCCATGCTATACTATACTATACTATACTATACTATACTATACTATACTATACTATACTATACTATACTATACTATACTATACTATACTATACTATACTATACTATACTATACTATACTACTTTTCAATTACTTAAAATGCCACAAAAATGTATTCATCTTTTATAGATAATTTTCTCTGGAATATTCTCAAAAGATAAATCTCCATATTGAAAATTGTTTGCTTCCCTGATAAATCTTTCCCACTTTCTAAGGAGCAACAACCTCAACTGGAATAATGCATAAAACAAAATGAAAACATTTCAAGTTTTTAACTGAATAACTATTTATTTTCTGTTATTTTATTCACGTTTTCATGTTTTGCTATCTGTGAAGATGAAACGGGGGGAGATTAAATCCAATTTAACCAAGTTTTATTTGTTAAGCAATTAAAAACAACCACAGCTGACCTGAGTGCTGTACAGAATAAATAAATGAATAAGATCACTCAGACAAAAAGATTCGAATCATTTTTCCACCATTTCTCTTTCTAATGGTGTTGACTTTGTAGATCAAATACTGAGCTTTACAAACTAGACCTCTGGAAAGCAGTAACAACAAAGGTCTGAAAATCTGTTTTTCATCTGGTGCATAAAAACACCTGGTGTCTCCTCATCACAGGCTCAAGATAAATTACACTGATGTAATCCATAAATCCTCTGTACAAAACCACAGAGGCTCCAAGATGGCCAGACAGTATATTTAGCAGCTTCACGGGGATAAGGAAAAGGGAGCTCACAGGAGACAAACACCAATCATGATGGCCTCGATCAGCAGAGTGATTTGAAAGTGGCTGTAAAATAGTATTCAGGTGGTCAGTTTATGTCATCCAAAACCACGTGAGGGACTTCTGAATGAGCCGAACTCTTGAGTACTTCTTTGAAATCATCATGAGCAGGGCTGACGTATACACTGCACATGAGAGATGTGTTATTATGCCAAAGTGTAGCTTAACTTTCACTGACATGCCTCTCTCATCTGCGATTAGGCCTCTGCTGTGCGTAATGTAATACTAACCTACAGATTTCATGACAAACAACTCAAAGTGACTACATAAACAAGAGAAACAGGCAAAAACAGAGATATCGGCAAAGGCCAAAACAAACTCATTAACTTATTTAGACATTAAAAATATTCACTATTTAGAAGATTTCGGTTATTTGCTGAAATATTATAACCTCTTCAGCCTTTTTGCAATTTGTCCCATTAAAACATATGTGTATTTTATTGGATATTGACTTAACGTTGAAAAAGAAAAATATATTTTTATATACGTTTTAATATATTTTGCCATATAAAATAGCTTTGAGGTCTTTTTTTATTTAACCACTTTTACAATACCTTCCTCAAGTCAGAATAGAGTCTATCTAATTTGATTAATGATTAATTAATTACAAATGATAAAATTTGTAATATGATTTCATTATAAATCCAACAGTTTTGCCTAGGCTTGGGGGCTTTTTTTAGAGAAAAGCAAAGGAAAAACAGCATCATGAAGAAAGTATTCAGCATCCAGGTCAGGGATGACGTTAAGGAGAAATTTAAGGTTAGCTTAAAAACAAAACAGACATCTAACACAGCACTGCAAGAAAATTAATAAGGCCAATAGTAGCAATAAGGAAGCTGTATAGATTCACAGCTCAGTGGGGAGAACTAGACACAGGGCGACTATTTGCTAAGCAGACCTCAAATCTGTCTCTTGTGGAAAGAAAGTAAAAAGCATTTAAGTAAAACACAAATCAAGACAGAAGATCATGTAAAAAAAAAACACCCTGAAGACACAACCACTACTGTGACACAGCTGGGTGGTAGTTAGAGGATCTACCTATTTTGAATGACCATGAGCTGTCACTTAACAATTACACCTAAACAAGTGAATCCTGCAACAAAAGTATGCATGTGTTGGACTGGCCTAGTCAAGTCTAGACCTTAATCCAACAGATAACTAGAAGCAAAACTGAGAATTGAAGGTAGCTGTGGGGCTTTTAATCCCATATGACTGAGCTTGAGCTGTTATGCAAACAAGATTGAAGAAATATTTTAGAAGATAAAGTTCAATTCGACTTCAAAAATAATTCATACATCCTAAACGGAAAATACTTGTTTTAAATAATGACATGGGTTAAATATAAATTATATCTTTCCCTTTTTGTGATTGCAAAGAAAATTGTAACATCATGTAGAATAACACCAACCCACAGTAATACACACCAAAAAGACACATTGTAAAAAAAAGTTAAAGGTGTGTGAAACTTTGAAGTGTGTGAAAATATTGCATACTATGTTTGTGAATACTTTGTGAAAAAAAGAGAATACACCTTTCTGGAAGAAGCACAAGGAAGGGAACGACCCAGGTATAAAAGAGGGGATAATGATTTTAAGGTTTGCAAGTGGAGATTTGGATCATTTTTTGTGTATTTTCCACTGAGTCACTGAGAAAGGACAAGATTTCTTTCTACAGTTAGAAAAGAGATGCTTTGTATAACCCAGTCAACATGGGAATGAACGCCCAAACACTGAGGTCACTCAGAAAACAGGAATAGTCTGGTTAATGGACCCCTGGTTTCAACGACGCAGCAAATACACAGGAAGCAGGGTGGGAAGACAAGACTCACAAAAATACCTGCCAAGTCAAACCTACGGGAGAGCTGGGCGGGTAATTTGAAATTCAGCAGCCTTTATAACAACCTGACAGCCTGTCAGTTACAAACAAATTCAGCTTTATGTTAAAAGGAGACACACCCAGTGGCGGCTGGTGAAAAATATTTTTGGTGGGGCTGATATAGCCTAGTGTATGTCTCCAACTAATCCGGAATAAGAATTCAAATAAACAATTGGACAATACATACAATTTAACAGTAATGATTTAATTTACTATATAATAACTAACAGTGATGATTTGGGTCACTGTGACGGGGTTCTTTGGCCTCCAAGAATCCAGGCTCAGTCGGGTTACCGGTGTTGGTGATTTATTGTGCTCAAAAACTCGAAACAGGGTGCAAAAGAAACTAAACATATACAAGATACTCTGGGCCTCAGCCTCCCTCCCGTTACCAGCAATGTAACAAAGAAACAGAAAACAAAAATTGCCGCTTTTCTTCCCACAGCCCTCATTAAATAGTTTAAGCCCCTACCCTCAGGCTCTCTTATTTCTGATTTCTTCTCATGAATCAGTTTTGTCCATATATTACCTCCACAAACAATTGATGTACAAAAACAAATAATTTTTACAACTTAATTCTTTTACACAGATTCATTGACTTATTCAATTACACCAAACTGGGTTTGAACCCAGCAAAGACGCAGCCAGACTGAAGATGACAAGTCCCCATAGCATAAACATGTACACACCCACACCCCTCACACACCCACACACACACACACACACACACACACACACACACACACACACACACACACACACACACACACACACACACACACACACACACACACACACGGCTAACCCCACTGAAATATTAAGTGTGCACCCTCAATACGCCAGCAGGTAACCAGGAACAGCTTGTGTGTTTTAAGTTCATGGAGCTACTGGTCTCAGCGCGAGTGTATTGGTCCTCACAAGCACAGTATAACAGGAATGTGTGTGTGGCGCGCAAAGTTAGAGAGGTTGTTTTAAGCGAAGAGGTGGATTCGTCACAGTCACAATAACCATGACATGAAATGTTCATATCCTACAACAGGGATGTTCTTCTGGCAAACGGGTAGATAAATAAGGATCTCACCGAATTTGGTGGAAGCTGCATCTCGGTCGTTACATTCGCCATCTTCCCTCTAATTGTCTGCACCTGCGCTTGGGTTCAGAAGCCTGTTAAAGCGCAGTATTTTCAGCGCCCCAAGACCATAAAGTTCCGAGACGCTGACTGGTCATTAAATTCACCTAGCAATAGTACATGATTGACAGATTCTCTGCAAATGTGGGGCTGTCTGATCAGCGCCCCCAGAACAGAGACGGTAGGAGTCTGTCTATGGAAATCCACAAATTAATGACAGTAGATAGGGAAATGTAGTTTATATAATTTGTTTTGCTTATAGGTACACAGTCTAGAGAGTAAAACTGACATTTATGAGTTAATTTCTAAAAATATATTTTACGTTTCTCTCTTCTTATCAGGGGGGGCGGTGCCCCAGCGCCCCCTATGGGCCGGCCGCCACTGGACACACCCTTCCCGCCTCTGCTGTGACGACAAACGAAAATCACTCAATTAGGATTTTCCTCATCAGACTTTTACATAATTCATTTGAAGTTAAAGCAAAATCCCTTCCGCTTGAGTCAGATCTTACATACCAGCAGTGGGAAGGAGGCATATACAGCACAGTGGACGGATTGTAAAACCTGGCTTAATGCTCAGTAACCCGAGAGCTTCACCTTGAGTCAGAATGCAGCAGCAGTTAGTGTAAGCTATGGCAGAAATGCTGTATGCGGTCAGAGTACATGGGTGTTACAGCATAAAGAGCTTCTTGTGAAGACTTACTAAATAAATTGCAAAACTACATCTGACAGGGGGTTCAGATGAGTAAAACATGCAGGGTGTGCGCTATAAATGGTTCGGGGAGGGGAGAAATGATCATCAAGTTATATCTGTATATAATAAATGTCCCACTGTGTTCATATACTTTAAATATATTATTCTGATCATGAAATCCAGGGTTGACAACTGTGTTTATTTTAGAATCTGCTACAATCTAGAGTTTTGTTGTTTATGAACATCTAAAAGATCTCTAGGATGTAAAAGCAGGATAATTACATAAGCCGAAGTTTAAAATAACAAGCCCAAAAAATTATATTCTTGAATGTTAATATTACAAATTTAAAACTAGAAATTACAGAAGAGGGATGAAAATCATATCTGACAGTGAGCAATCTTACCATCTTCCTTTCTGCTCGCTGGCTTTCTCATTCATCACATCAGTGGTTTTCTCTGATATAATCCAAAAGGAGTTACAATCCTCCACGGAGCTGTTGCTGCCCGAGCTCAGAGGCTGCTCGACCCAAATGAAATCCATTCTGCCAGGGCACACGTCCGAGGTTGAGTCACAGAAGGCTGATGAGCAATCGTCAAGTCTCCAGCCTGTCCCCAACGACTCAGTGTGTCCCCTCTCTCCCTGTCTCTCTCTCTCTCCTGTGGGCTGAGATTCACTGAATACTCTCTGCTTTCCGTTTGTCTGTCTCTCCACGGTTGTTGTTTCCTTCTCACAGCCCCTCAAGTGCTCTCTGCTATGTTTGTCTGAGGAGGGGTGAGACCAAACATGAGGAAGGAGAGAGACAGAAAGACAGAAGCAGACTGTCTCCAAACATAGACTTCACAGAAGTATTCAAACCCCCGAAGCTGAACTTTCTCACATTTATTCTTCAACAACTACGTACTTTTGAAGTAAATAATTTAGATTGCTTGTGATAAACAAAGTTGCAAAGAATTGTAAGAGTTAAAAAAAAACAAAATCAATATTTTTCCCTTTTTTCTCTGTATGAGCAGCAGAGGGAGTTAGAAGCACTGCTGCCTAGGTTCTTTCTGCATGGAATTTAATGTTCATGCAGTGCATGTGTAGGCTCTTTCCTTCCACAGCCCAAAAACATCAGCTTTAGCTGTGTCCATCTTCTGATAAAAGAGTGTTGAAAAGTGGGTGTGTGTTTTTATTGCATGGTGGGAACCAACTCCATAAATCCTAGTACATCATGGGGACCGAGAGCTCTGGTGGGGAGCAATGTCTGGTCTCCATGGGTACAAATATTGTTTTAGCCTTAGGTGTTAAGTTTAGGACTAAGGTGTAAATTGAATTTAGGTTAGGATTAGGGTTAGGTATGAATCTGTAATGTTAGGGATAGGGTAAATTAGGGTTAGGTTCACGGTTAGGCTGTAGAAATGGGTTAGAACTGAATGGAAGTCATTTGAGGTTCCCACAATGATGGATAAACATAAACTGTGTGTGTGTGGTCTTGTTGTACCTACAAGGTGAGGGAAGTATTTTGTAAAATATCCTACATGCGAGGACTTACAGGTACATATAGGGACATTCAACTGGTCTCTATATGGTAAAGTTCTGTTCTTTGAGTTGGGGTTAGGTTTAGGACTAAGGTGTGAATTCAGTTCTGGTTAGGTCTAGGTACATCTTGGTAATAGTTAGGGATAAGGTAAGGGTAAGGGTCTGGGTTAGGCCATATAAAATGAATGCAAGTCAACGAAATCTCCACATACACTATATTGCCAAAAGTATTTGCTCACCTGCCTTGACTCACCTATGAGCTTAAGTGACATCCCGTTCCTAATCCATAGGGTTCAATATGACGTCGGTCCACCCTTTGCAGCTAGAACAGCTTCAACTCTTCTGGGAAGGCTGTCCACAAGGTTTAGGAGTTTGTTTATGGGAATTTTTGACCATTCTTCCAGAAGCGCATTTGTGAGGTCGCACACTGATGTTGGACGAGAAGGCCTGGCTCTCAGTCTCCGCTCTAATTCATCCCAAAGGTGTTCTATCGGGTTGAGGTCAGGACTCTGTGCAGGCCAGTCAAGTTCATCCACACCAGACTCTGTCATCCATGTCTTTATGGACCTTGCTTTGTGCACTGGTGCACAGTCATGTTGGAAGAGGAAGGGGCCAGCTCCAAACTGTTCCCACAAAGTTGGGAGCATGGAATTGTCCAAAATGTCTTGGTATGCTGAAGCATTCAGAGTTCCTTTCACTGGAACTAAGGGGCCAAGCCCAGCTCCTGAAAAACAACCCCACACCATAATCCCCCCTCCACCAAACTTTACACTTGGCACAATGCAGTCAGACAAGTACCGTTCTCCTGGCAACCGCCAAACCCAGACCCGTCCATCAGATTGCCAGATGGAGAAGCGCGATTCGTCACTCCAGAGAACGCGTCTCCACTGCTCTAGAGTCCAGTGGCGGCGTGCTTTACACCACCGCATCCGACGCTTTGCATTGCACTTGGTGATGTATGGCTTGGATGCAGCTGCTCGACCATGGAACCCCATTCCATGAAGCTCTCTGCGCACTGTTCTTGAGCTAATCTGAAGGCCACATGAAGTTTGGAGGTCTGTAGTGATTGACTCTGCAGAAAGTTGGCGACCTCTTCGCACTATGCGCATCAGCATCCGCTGACCCCGCTCCGTCAGTTTACGTGGCCTACCACTTCGTGGCTGAGTTGCTGTCGTTCCCAAACACTTCCATTTTCTTATAATACAGCTGACAGTTGACTGTGGAATATTTAGGAGCGAGGAAATTTCACGACTGGATTTGTTGCACAGGTGGCATCCTATCACAGTTCCACGCTGGAATTCACTGAGCTCCTGAGAGCGACCCATTCTTTCACAAATGTTTGTAAAAACAGTCTGCATGCCTAGGTGCTTGAATTTATACACCTGTGGCCATGGAAGTGATTGGAACACCTGATTCCAATAATTTGGATGGGTGAGCAAATACTTTTGGCAATATAGTGTATGTCATGAAAACAAAGCTGTGTGTGTGTGTGTGTGTGTGTGTGTGTGTGTGTGTGTGTGTGTGTGTGTGTGTGTGTGTGTGTGTGTGTGTGTCTGTCTGTCTTTGTCTATTGCATAATATTCCTCTAATATACAATGAAACTTGAAATTTGGACTAAATGTAAAAAATTTTAAGTGAATGACAATGTTTGCAAGACACTGCATGTAGCCAAAATGTAGCTGAGAATGAAAAGAGCTCTGAGTAAAATGTTAAAATGACCAATGTTACTGTAAACACCAGAGACCACAAATATCACATGTGGTGTTCCCCATCTTAGGACCCTTCCCATTCCACATCTCTGGCTAAATGCATAGAAGGAATCAACCTATGGATGTGCCAAAATTGTTCTTTTACAGAATCAAGACAAAATTGATGTAAAAATGTTTGACTAAAGCAGGAGCATCTTAACACACAGCTTCAGTTGAAAAAGCTAAAAAACCACCTATCAGGCTCTGAAATCTGGGTTAAGTATTCGACTCAGACCTGAATCTTTAGAAGTATATTAAGACACAACAGGGCCGTGCAGAAACCACTAAAGGGGCAGGTGCTCAAAAAAAAAATAAAAGGGCACATCTTATCACATTTTAGGACAGAATATTAACAAAGTCACATAGCTTTCAGAGTTTAATGAACAATGATAAATTACAAAATTGTGAGACATACAATCAAATCTCTAAATAGAACATAGAACTATGCATATGTAAAATATTTTATTAGTAATTTCTTTCTGCAGGTCTATTTTGTTATAGGAAAGTATTACAATATTCAAACCTGCAATTTAGCCAAAGATGTAAATCAGAGCTGGACCACCAGACATATTTTGTCTTTACAGAATTAAACTGTAAAAAATGCATACAAGGGCACAATGCAACCTTTTAGTGTACTGTAATCTATAAAAAAGAATGTCTGCCTGGTTTGCTGTACTGACAGTGGAGATGGAGACGGTCCATTCAGAAAAGCAGAGCTGCTGCATCAAACTTTAACGTGGAACTGCAGAAAAAAAAGAACAAAACAAACATTTTATTAATGCATGTCACCATGAGAAAAGCCTACTCTGTTTGTGTCTTAGTGTATTTTGTACCTATATAAATTTTCTTATCTTTCCTATCAATCTTTCCTCTTCGTTTTTTCTTGTCAGTTTCTCTTTTCTTTTTTTCCTCATTGTCTCATCTTTTCTGTGTTGAGTGAAGGTCAATGTCTTATTTATTTCAGTCTCTTGCCTTTCTTTTTCCCCCAAACTAAATCCAAGATTATGATCAAAAAACTTATTTTCCGTCATGGTGATTTAACTGTTTAAAAACAAATTTCCAACTTTTAAGCATTTTTGCTATTTTTGTTCTCTTTTGTTCACAGCAGCAGTTTTCTGTTAGCCATGTCTTTAAAAATGTTAATAACCTCACTGTGAATGATTGGCACATCCTTCTCGATTGCCAACAAAAGAAGGTCTGACAACCGATCCTCCTTGCATAAGCTGCGCAGTTTTGTTTTCACCAGCTTCATACATTGTATCTATCATATATCTATCATGGTACACTGCAAAAACGATCTAGAAATAAGTAAAAATTTCTTAAATTAAGTGTATTCACCCTTAATTTGAGTAGGTAAATGAGATAGTTTGCCAATGGAATGAGTATTTTTACTCTTAAAATAAGATAATTAGATAATATGCACTTAAAATAAGACAATGCAATTGTGTTTTATTATTTTAAGTGTAAATTGTCTTGTTCCATTGGCAAAATGTTTCTTTTACTTCCTCAATTCAAGAACAAATGCACTTATTTTAAGAAAAAATGACTTAGATAGATTTGGATTTTTTGCAGTGTAGTTCTGGATGAGTTCTCCTTCAAGATACATTTACCTAACGCTAGAATAAATGAAATGTACATCATGCAGCAAAGGAAATTAGAAAATCAGACATATATCCATAATGGAGATGATAGGTTTTTGACGGGCGATGTGCCCCTATTGCATAAGTAATACTGAAGAATGTCCTACTATCATTAACGACACAGGGAAGCTTTTTAGTTATCTTGCTTTGCTAGCAAAGTCATTAGCTAGCAGCTAGCTCATAGCACAAGAACAACAGCCTAATGTCTGTATGATAAAAATACTGAATCGAGATAAGAACAGCTTTTCCTCACCTGGCTGTCTCCCGCTCAGTAGTTCTTCAGAGAAAGGCGCGCCGCATCCTATACTTTCCTCCGTTTAAACCGCTACTCTTTGCTAAAGTAGAGAAATTATACAACGTTCAAAGTTTTCCATTGTCTGACATGTAGCAAGCCTACTCCAGTATTTTCACCAAAAATTATGTTTTTTAATTCACAAAAAAACTGTTCTGTAATCATTACAGACCAGTTTTTTGTGAATTAAAAAACATAATTTTCAATGTAAAAGACTAAAAGCACAGAGTAAACAGTGTTTTAGATCAAACAATACTGCATCATCCATGGGGGTCATTTGGTTTCACTTACATGTCTATTCAGGTTGACATTGGAGAGGTGGTACAGACTGAAGACATAGCAATCCGTCCGATCATGGTTGATCTTGCTTAGGGCCAAATGAGCAGCGGCCACAGTGTAATGTGGAATATTCGCTACCTTTAGCTCCGCAGTTAGCCGCCTTATCTGACTGTGCGAGAGGCAAGTGCGTCGTCACCGGCAAAAGGTCAAAGGTAACAATGTGACCAGAGAGCTTATTGTATTGTTTTTCTTGCCAAAAAAAAAGATAATAATAATAA